TCAATATCCTTGGCCAACATTTGCCCTTCCCTTCACTATTGTGCAGGGTTCTGATTACTATGCTCCACTCCAGAGGAGGCTGCATTTTGTCGGTGAAATGGGGAACTCAGTTTTTTAAGTTGTGAACAAACTCACAGAGTGTCATCTGCCTGGAATTCAGGTCCGTAGCACTTACAGCTTGTTTAGAAATTTGGGATGAAAGGAGTTATGGACATTTAAACTAGACTGTAATATATAATATATGAATATAGCAGCCATTAGCGGATTCCTGTCACATTGACTCTTTCAGCCAGCCAAGCCCCTGGAAAGAGGGGTCTGCAGAACTTCCAAGCACAGCAAATCTCCACAGTCCCTTCCCTGTTCTCCTCGTTCAATGTCAGAAAACTCCACCTCGCACTGTCCTGGAGAACAAATCACACAAGGGAATGTCTTGAGTTCAGAAGACCACAGCTCTTCCTAGAGCCTTGGGCAAATGAATCAGGAGTCTTGCCAAAGCCGGGGGCTGTAGGGTTGTCCCCAATGCCTATGTACCTTGTGCAGTGGTTGCTCTGTTATATTCCTCTGAGCACTGCTTTAGCTGCAACCCATTTTGTCCCCTCCTCTGTGAGCAGAAGGCATGTCAGAGTGGCATTTAAGACAATGCTAGCTTGTGTGTGCTTTTATTCAAAGGGTTGGGATCAAAGATCACTTGCACTGGGTATGCATGTCCTGAAATCCATATCCAAGTGTGATCTGAGGGCAGCCAGCCAGTGAGGTGTTAGGTCATGTAGTAAATTCTCTGAGGGCTTGAGGAAGCGTAGGGGGCATGCAGGTGTGGTGCCGTGTTTGTAGGATTTGTTGTTGCTTTCCAAAAGACAATGGGACTTGTCAGCCTCGTTTGGACATGTGCCATAATGCAGCAGCGGTTCTGCTCAGGCTGGCACCCCGAGCGCTGTGAATGACTCCACACATGTCAGAGTTAGGCATGTTCTTTCTCCCTAGCTAGGCCAGCGGGAGTCCGTGGGTCAGCTGGGAGGAAGAGCAGTATAACTCTCGTTGCCTCCCTAATATAAACATACATCCAGTTCAGCTGCACAATGAACACAACAGCCAGGTTGACCTCCACAGGTGCAAAACTTCACCCCTGCCCGCCTGAGGGTGAGCCCCTTTGCTGTCACATGGAGTCAGCGGGAGCCCCTATAAAGTACAGTTACAACCTCTTGACATCTCATGTTAGCATCTGCATCTTAATGTTGCGCTGCTACAATTCAACATAATCATGTACTGGTGCATGAGCAAGACACGATGTTCTCATCTTGACTGCCTTTCTCTTCCTGCTGTTAAGTGGTTGAGGAGCTCTTCTGTTCCTCCTCAGGGCCACAGGGAATAGCAGAGTGGAATTGAAGGAGGAGGTGGGATGATGACTGAGTGGGAGGGGAGTAACAGTTTTATGGGCACTAGACAGGGACTCAGGAGATCTGTATTCAGCATCTGCTTTGCCACAGATTTTCTGGTCAAGTCACTTAATCTCTCTCCAACTCAGCTTCTCCTCTGTAAAACGAGAACAATAACATTTCCTTTCTTCCCTCCCTTTGTTTTATCTTTTGAGATTGGAAGGGACTGTCTCTCAGCGTGTGTCTGGGCAGCATGGAGCACAGTGGACCCTGATCTCAGTTGCAGCCTCTAGATGCTACTGTAATATAAACAATAACTCATGGCTGCTTGAAACCGATACTCCCCCGCGGGTTGCGAAGTGCCTGCCCCCAAAAGAAAAAGAAATGCTCAAGCCACAGGTGATGCTTGGTGTTGTAAACCAGAAAAAAAAACCCTATAGAAAAAGCCCCCGTAAATAACTTGCTGTTAGGTCTGCGAGGAGCATGGAAATTCCATTTTGCAAAGGGGTTTTGCGGTGTTGAAATTTGGCTTTCATTCAAACTTTGAAATTCTCCACAAAAGACAATTCTTGGCTTTTTCAATGTATATTATAACACTGGTCTACAATTTTTGAGAAGTCGTCTGCTTCAGGGATAAAATGTGCTATTTATTATGTATTTTGATGTGCTGAATTCAAATATGACAATTAAAACAACTGATTGGCTACTGTTTCTAAGATATTTAAGTTTTTACATTTGATGTTTAAGTTTTTACATTTGATGATAATATTTCACCTGTCCTGTTTATGTAACACTTTAAAAATCAGCAAAAGGGTTATATAAATAAAATTGATTATGAAACAAAAGGCAAAAACTATTCTGTACATAGTTTAGTCCTATTCAGTGTCTACTCGGTGCTTCTTGGCTTGTCTCTTGTATTCATTAAATGGAGCATCTCTTGTCACTGTTCAGCAATAGTGTGCAAGCATTGATGGGCTCCATTTGCCCTGATAGCGTTTCTCCATTGTTGCAATGTCCTGGTGAAATCGCTCACCGTGCTCGTTGCTCACTGCTCCGCAGGGCGGTGGAAAAAAATCTAGATGAGAGTGCAAAAAATGTATCTTTAGTGACATGCTGCAACCAAGGCTTTTGTATGCCTTGAGGAGGTTTTCCACCCACAACCTGTAGTTGTCTGCCTTGTTGTTTTCGAGAAAATTTATTGCCACTAACTGGAAGGCTTTCCATGCC